CCTACCCAGCCTCCTATCCATTGGGTACCGGGGGTAAAGCGACCGGGGCGTGAAGCTGACCACTCATCTCCAACTAATGCCGAGGTCAAGAAAATGTGGATCTGTGCATCCACTACCATGTCCTCATTCATAGCATAGTGCTACCGGCAGAAGCTTGCACTGTGTAGGGTTGTAGTACTGTATTCCCATCTCCAGTATTTTATTCTTTTTATTTACAGCGTGGAGGGAAACTGACATCTTCTGCACAGTCCTTCTCGAAAAGCTGCTAATCTCTCAGCATATCAAGAAATTCCATGATTTTTATGGAACCTGAAGGTACACAAGAAAAATCTAGCTACTGGTTAATATCCTGAACAGATGAAATCAATCTACGCCCGCACACCTAATATCTTTATGGTCCTGTTACCCTCCCGTCGACGCCTAGGTCTTCAGAGCGGGCCCTTTCAATTCAGTTTTTCCGACTAAAATTTTGTATGCATTTTTACCCCTCCCATGCGTGTTGTATGTCACACATATCACTAAATACACAGGCATACCAGAAATGACTCAGCTACAGTTCATACACATAGATTTTTCTGTGACCGTGCTTAATAACATGCATTGTTACGATAGGCAGTTTTAAAGAAGTCTGGTAAAGATTAACAGAGAATTTATGGAAAGCAGCGGTGAGCAGCCAGTGAGGACCAAAACACAATTTCCTCGAGTTAGCCGCCAATACCTTATTTTACCAAAATATTTTACCTGTGTTGGGGTGGTCTGGGAGACGAAACATTCGCACAAAATGACCTCTCCACACTGCGTTCTCCTGCAGTTCGTGTTAGTCTAACTCAGAGACTGTAAGTAAGCAATAAGTCATTTTGGGAAAATTCAGATGCCAGAGGAGATGCTTAACCATATGAAACAGAGGAATCCTGTCATACGGGAAGACAGAATCCCTTTGTGCTTTGGCTCTAAGTGGCCCCAGGTGAATGTTGTCAGAAGTGCAGCATTTGGTGAACTCAGAATTGGCAGGGGAAATCTGAGTAGTCGGATTAAACCTGCCCAAGTGTTACTGTGTCCACCACAAATTCTGCATGAACTGACCTTGGACTGAACCTGGACCGACGCGGCTAAAAGTGACTGCCTGACAGGTTGTTTAATTGTCTGTTCCTAAGCCTCTAGGTATTGGCTTCTCCGTCTCTTCAGGCTCCAGAATCTTCACTCCAGTATCCACTGCGATATTCAGCGTGTCTTCATTCTGTAGGTCTATAGGCTTATATGTTGCTGCCAGTTTTACTAACGATAATCGAAAATTTAATATCTTTCTGATGTCTGAATTTCGTTGGTGATCACAGTGGCCCCGCGGACTTAAGGTATGGGTTCGAATCCCACTTGAGACATGGATGTCTCTATGCGTTCATTCTGTGTTTATGTTGTTCTGTGTGCCAGTAGCGGCCTTGCGAAGGGGCTGATCCCCTTCCAGGGAGCCCTACCGACTGTATATAGTATTAAGAAACTGAGAAAGCGGCTAAGGCTCAAATTGCCGTAGAACCAGAGAGAGAGAGAGAGAGAGAGAGAAATACCCAGCTGGACAGATGGAAACCTCATTCGTGTCCCTTCCTATCGCAAACACCATACTGTAAAGCAAATGGGCAGCATATGAACTGGGAACCCTCGAACAAAGGAATTTGTTAGGAGATTCGTTTGAGCTCTTAGCATCCATTTTCTGAAGAACTGTGCATGCTATTGGCGGAAAAATTCGTCTGTGTAGGCCCACATTCTTCCATTCCTTGTTTGAAGTGGATATATTTAGTGGTGTACTGGGAATCTGGTGGCTGACCGTTTGTCCACATTTTTATTATCCTAAACTGATTAATTGATTTCGATGAAATTTAGTATGGGAGGATACGTTGAGTTATTTGATGAATTTCATTTCGGTTCATATCAATCCAGTATGCAATGTGGTCCATGCTGTTAATTTAAATTAAAATTGGCAACGCTGAAAATTGTATTTCCGGTCTATGTGTCGGAGCGGATAAAACAAATTCTATGATAGAAAACAAGTTATTTCGTACAAATAAATGCAGTGAAATTTTTTAAAACTGGTTTTAGCGTGATATTTCGGTTTCTGGTGTTACAAATCCTATTACTTCCTGTTTTTCTTGAAAGTTCCATCCACTAGAAGCAAAATTTACTACCTTGCGACCTTATTCCATACTAGGTTAAGTATCTTTACGAAATATGTATGAGTAAGTATAGAAGGAAAATTTCAGCTCATTTCTCATATGCATTGCTTGTAGCTGAAGAGATATAGTATATTCATTAGTTTGGCTGCTCTCAGACTGGATTAAAGAAGTGGAATTAACTTTTCCCTTGCTACACGCGAGATATGCCGCGTAGAAACACAGGATATTCTGACCGAATTGAAAATTGTGAGCTTAGGATTTCTTTGGTACGTGGCAGATACCGACTCGTAGCGATTGTTCGTGTAAGGGATCAGCTAGCCATATGGCAGTAGGAGCAACGGCATGCAGTAGTCACGTGTCTTCAGATAAAGAAGTGTCTTCCGCGTTACAGCTGCAGCTGATGTTCCTTTGCAGCACACGGTTTTCAGATGTGTAGAAGGGCTGTCATCGCATGCTTGGAGGAACCGAGAACATAACCCAATCTCCCATTTGAATGATTAGTACTTCTCTTTCATGTTAGCGAGGTCCCACGCCGTGCCATACCTTAGGCGGTTAGTCGCCGGCTTCCCACCGTGGCGGCCCGGATTCGAGCCCAGGTCAGGTCATGTGGGATTTGTGGTGGACAGAGTGGCACTGGGGCAGGTTTTCTCCAAGTACTTCGGTTTCTCCTGCCAATTCGCATTACACCCATTGCTCCATAAACATCATCTGTCATCTGGGGCTGGTACAATAGGCCAATTAGTGGCCGACGTACCAAGTGGAATGTCTCACCCCACCCAAAGAAACTAAAAAGGAGACGGGAAAACAAACTAAGTTTGCCCCGAGTTTAAATGTCGGCCCGAAAGCCGGCCAACTCACACTTTTACGTAGTTGGCCTCAGTATCTCTAGGCAAATGAATCCTTTCCGATTTGTCCACAGATCAGTGTGTTATTTGATATACCTAACGAGCTGAAGAAACAGTCAGTCGAGATTTACCATATAAAGAGGTGGAGGAAGGAAACAATAATGATTGATTCAATAAAGTGACAGGAGCCGGGATATCTTAGTCGGTATAGCGATGAGCTGGACGGCCGGGGCTCGATTCCCGGTAGGGACAAGAGTTTTCTCTTCTTCCCAGAGTACAGATCGGCTCTGCAGCCCACCCAACATCCTGTACAATTACTGCGGGCTCTTTCCCCGTAGGTAAAGCGGGCGGTGCTTGAAGCTGACCACTCACCTTGTAGTGCCGAGGTCAAGAATGGTGGAGCTATGCAGCCACTCCCCATACGTTTTCGTGGCGTGGTACTTAATTAATTAAGCACAGTGGTAAATTTACCTCTTTCAGTAAATCGAGACGCCGCAGGCTGGACGATCGGACATCGATTCCTGGTGGAGGCAGGGACTTTTTTCTTAGATATGACGTTCAGACTGGCTCTAGGGCTCACCCAGTTTCCTCACCAACGAGTACGAGGACACTTTCCACGGGGTTAAAGCGGCTTGAGCGCGAGGCTCACATGCGTGTAGTGCGGAGGAGTTTTACATAGACGTCTTTTATAAACGTACCCCACTTGGAACATCTATTTTGCCGTGCGTTTATGGTGTTGTAATTTGGGGCACCTGATCTGGCTACTACTAAGGAAGCTGTTTATAGGAGACCTGCCAAGTGGGAGCAATATTGCTCTTCGTTGCTGTTAGGATGCAAGACTCTGGTACGGGGCCAAAGGGTCAAAGCTTTTGGACGGCTTCACTCCTCAGCATTGGTGACAGCAGCAGCCATCTTAATGTAGCATCCGCCCCGCCGAACGCAGGGATAAAATTGGAACATGCACGCGCATCCAGCCAGCCAGCTAGCTATGGCGAAGTCAGCCAAGAGCTGGCCGAGCTGTGTAGGTAGGTTGGTTCTGGGCGAGGCGACCAGCCAGCTATTGATTGCCTGCGATGGAACCTGCAGAGCGGTTGTCGACTTGAACCATCTCTTTGTTGTAGTAGCCCAGTCGTGTTGCGTCCAAGGAGGTGCGTTAAAATCTTTTTGTGTTTCGTGGTGGGAGTATAGTTTAATGTTCTCTTTTTTCAGAGATAGTTAATTATTGTTAGGTGACTATCGTGGATTGCGTATTTAGTGGAGATGAGGTCATAGCCTGTTTTAATTAGCAAGTAATTTATCTGTGTGTTTTTGGTAATCGAGAAAAATACAAAGCTGAGATAAAATAAATAAACGAGAATGGACACAGAAATTCAACAGGCGGAGCAGCAGTCGGTACAAACAGCGGCCTACTAGCAAACCAGTCGTGGACAGTCGACTTTAAAAACGCGGAGCAGCGCCAAGTAGTAACAGCTGATCCATCCCTCGCTTTGTACACAAAGCCGGGTACATGCCAGCGCTATACTAAATTATCTTTGGCACTAACAAAATACAGGAAGTAGATTTCTAGAACAGAGAATGTTACTAATTCATTTGAAGTTAATGCTCTTAAGTTGAAGTCTTTAATGTGGAAACGACGTGCACTTATGTAGAAACTGAAGCTCAGTTACCAGAGGCTTGGGGGCATGCTGTGTTGCCTTGCCACCTCCTGGGCTGTATCGACCACGGATCGATATGTTGTTGCCAGTCTCGAGAGTTGAGGGCGGAAGAGCGCTACGAGTTCGAATCTTGCTTAGTGTGAAGGTTGTACATAAATTGTTTTAATGTCCGGTCGTTGACCTGCAGAACTAATGGGAACTTCGACTTTAGAATTCGGGAGGAAGTAACTAATATACAGTACTGGCATCCGTTTTCACTTTTAAAGCTTAGATCGACCCTCGGAAGATGAAATTAGTTTCTATTAATGCCATTTGTGTTTTCAGATACGAGTATAATGTCCTCTCCATCTATGGTGCATCGGAGCGGTGACACCCTCCTGGTGAGAAGTGTAGTGAGTGGGGACTCTTTGTACGAGGAAAGTGAAGACGATATCGACTTACCCCAGTGCAAGATTAAGCGCAACTATACTTGCACTCACTGTACTTACTACACCCAGAACCCACGCTCCTACCTGTACCATCTCAAGGACGAGCACGGGGAGAAAATCAAAGTGTACGAGTGTCCTAGCTGCCTGTATGCTTCCAAGCACAGCCAAAAACTTCAGCGGCATGTACACATGGTTCACGTGATAGGTCGAGGGGCAGCGGCCGGCTTCAAGAAGAAGAAAAGCGAAATTACCAAATCGAAATTGGGGAACAGTGCATCAGCAGGGGCTGCAAAACAAGTGGAGAAATCTGGCAACGATTCGAAAGCGGTGAACATGAGTGAAAACATCGTTTTGAAGATGAGTGGAGGGGAAGTACGGGGTTGTTCTTTGTGCCCATTTACAAGTTCTGACCCAAGTGAAGCGCTGAAACATGAGCGTACAGCGCATCTTAAGAAGAAATTCTACCGTTGCAGTAAATGCAATTACGTGACTCACATGAAGGCCCGCTATACAAAACATGTTAAGTACCATTCTATGCCTATGATTAAGTGCGACCTTTGTGATTTCCGCACTCCCTACAAGTGGAACTTGGACCGTCACTACAAGAACCACACCGGAGACGGTGCTTACCGCTGTGCACTTTGCAACTTTACGGCTGATATCAAACAGAGCCTTACTGTGCATGAAATGAACCATCACGTGCCACCCGTAGGACAGCCGGCGTCTGCGGGGAGTGGCGCGGGGACAACTAGGCGTCGGAACAAGGTGGGCGCAAGTGACTCTGCGGCGATGGAAGAGGAGATCGACCAGGAGGAGCTTGAGCTGCTGCGCATGGAACGGGAAGACGCAGCAGATTCCGCCCCACCATACCAGGTAGGGATCTTACCGGATGAGACACAAATACTTTGTCATGCCCCTTATCATGGTTTCAAGTTCAGCTGCTGTGAGGACCTTCTTGTCCCAAGATTGCTAAGAGGCAAAGACTGGCTGTGAATAGAGAGACAGAGGCGATGATAATACCTTACCAGATGATGCAAATGGTAAGAATGGAAACCCAACATTATTGCCCCATATCTGGTAAAGAATCATACTTGTTAGGTGAGAATCAGGACAAGTTATCAGGTCCATTCAGTGAAAGATACTGGTTCATCCCAATGTGGCTTCAAGGTACCCCCTCCCACCCCACATTCACGGCCTCTTAACAGAAATGAGTACCAGGAATTAATTAAATAATTTTCGCGGGGAGTAAGGCGCGGCCGGCTCGTAAGGCTGACAACCTTACCGCCACCTATGAGCCGATTGTCTAGATAATGTGGGAACCTCAACATCTCACAACCCTATGGACCTTCACGGCCTCTTACAGGGATAGCTTTACCTTTTTTATTTTTTTACGTATACACACGCACAAAACCGCATGGTGACACATGCACACCCGCCATGACACCTCAAACCACCCCCTTTACCATTTTCACTGAACAGGCAGAAGTTTAAGCAAAATATTTCTGTCAGATACTGAAACACAAACTTCGAATTATTTTGAATGTATACAGACACTAAATTCAGATTATTTACTGGATACAAAGAAATGCAGCTTCCATCTGACAGGTAGACAGGAGAATGTAGAGTATTTTGTTGTGTTGAACTTAGGAGAAATCGACTTTTTTTTTGCATATTGAACCGAAGATCATATTACTGTAAAATTGATTTTGACTGATTCCTGGGTTGTTTAATGGAGATATTTATCAAGTTCAAAGGTTATCCAGGATCGTGTGAGTTGAGAGGATGATAATGAAAAATGAATTGGCAAGAACTGGGAAGGAAAAGGTCCAGAATAAAACTATGAAATACGTCAGTCTGATAAATGATACTGCGTGCACTTCATTTTCCATTCCCTACAAATCCGATGTGTTATGTTGTCATTCATTTTGTCAGTTTGTTTTGTATATGGCAGCCATACCCAAATTCACTGTTTAAAATAGCTGGTGCCAGGCTAACACATGAAACATAATTTTTAGTTACTTTTCTGTTCACACAACAAAATGCAAATGCTGGGAAAACCAAGAAAGGATTGAAAACTTAGTGGTTAGATGTGTAAGAGTATAAACTGGAATGAAATGGCTGAAGATCATATCAGATGGTAGGCTTTGATGTTGGCGACATGAAACATTTGGGTCAAGTTACCAGAGAGACAGTTAATTCCACCCACCTGGTAGTTAACTAAATAACTAACTCTCTCTGGTAGTAGAGTCTGCAGTTGTAACACTGCTAATACTAAACCCCACCATTGGGCATGTTCACGAGCTAGTTCATTGACTGGAAAGAATGCTGGATTTCACTTTGAAAATGAAAAATTGGCAGCCTTAATACAATAATCATCAGTGAAGTTTCTGTCAGTGTCCTTCCGTACTAAAGAAGCTGTCGATGAACCATGTAGAGATGATTTGAAAAAATTCTCATGAAAGAAACAGTGAAAGAAATGGAAGTGAAGAAATACAGTTTGATGTTGCAGAAAGTGAAACAAGCTGGTAATGTCGATTACAGTGAAGCAATACATCTGAAACATTTTTTTGTAATAGAAGAAATAGAATGTTTCTTATGCGTAGAAGGGTTATTTAGCTAACAGAAGGTGGTCCAGCGTAGTTTTTGCATTACAAGATTTTGATATGGATACAAGAAATACTAAATACAGAGTTCACAAGAATTTCGAACTTTCAGTCAATAATATAAGAGAATTCAAAATTATACTTTTCATGTAATATATTTTCACTCAGTTGACAGTCAGCCTCAAGGAAGACTCTCACAAAATACAGCCAGCCAGCTTTGTGCTATATATTTCTCAGCGAAGTATGTAGTTTACATATGTGTTTCGATCTGTAACAGATCATCATCAGATACTGATGTTTTATCTGTCTTATATTAGTGTATAGATAATTGGTCCATTTGTTACCCTATACCAGTTTTCTTTCAGTTTATTTAATTACTATCATTGCTGAAGTAACAACAGAATTACTCTAAAATCAATCAGACCGAGGTATATGAATGAAATAATGCAATGATTGGATGAGATGCTGGGACAAGTTAACCCATTTGCTGTGTCACATAAACAAATGCATCAAACGAAATGATATATGTGAGTAAATAAGTACAATGCATTGATATTTAATTCACAGCCTTTAAGATCAACTAGAATGACATATGCTGTATTTTGTCTGTGTGTGCACTTGCACGTGTGCCTTCACGCGCGCACACACAGACACACATGCATACATTATCACTGATATGATCTGTCATTGTTCATTTCATTAAATCCATCACTTCACCATATATCTTGTACATAGTTCTTCCTTGTTGATGTCAGAGTGTCACTCTAGTCATTAGTCGGCCTTCTTTTTGTAACTACTTATCATGGATGCAGTATGTGTTCAGAATATCTCATTTTATATTTCTCCCAGTCTGACCTATATAAACACACCTTTTACATTTTAATTTATAAATACTTCTGCTGCGGTATCATAGTTAGTTGAGACACTATGCTACAGGCTGGAAGGTTTCAGGTTCGATTCCTGACGAGGTCATTGGGTTTTTCAGTTAACCTAATCCTTCCAGCTGCACTCTAGCCCCAGGATTGACTTAGCCCCTAACAGAAATGAGTACCAGGGATCCTCCTGGGGCTAAAGGACAACCGGTGTGTAAGGCTGACAACTTCACCGGTATCTGTGAGCTGATTGTTTGGAAAATGTTGGAACCTCGACATGTAACAACTCCATGGGCATCCACAGCCTGTTACAGGGATAGCTTTTCCTTCATTTTACAGTATAATTCATTTGGAGGAGACCCCAAATTAATGATTATAAATCATGCAGTAATTTACTGATGAAAATTAAACATGGTAAACTATGTGCTTCACAGCACAGACCTTGTGTTTGCTGCCCTGTTTAAAGTACTCCCTCACTCAGTGATTTCATGTGTTTTGTTGGCTGCAACATGGAGCATCGTTTCAGCCTGTGTTTCCAGTTGGTGGCATACCAATTTCGACATCCCCTGTAACTCATTTATCTCCATGTGTACCAAGGTTTACTCGCCAATATTTTATTTTCATTAGTAAATTGTTGGAAAATGTGGCTCTTTGCATCCATTCCCCCATATGCCTAAATGGCATAGTGCTTAATTAGTTAAGCACAAGGACAGCTTTACCTTTACCGTAAAAAAAACTCAGTGATTTTAGTCTGCAAGCGAACTATACCGACCGAGAGACCTCCGCTTGTCGGCGAAGTTTAGTGCCAACTTTTGCGGATAGAGGGAGTCGCGTGCTCAACGCAACGGTTTGTCAGCCCGGAGCCTCTATTTCTTTGAAATAGCTCCACAANCTCAACGCAACGAATCCCCACGACCGTTAATTTCGGTTTGTCAGCCCGGAGCCTCTATTTCTTTGAAATAGCTCCACAATTATCATCATGAGGCTGAGTGGACCACGTTCCAGACCAACTGCTTCTCCGAAAAAAGTGTAGTAGCGCCGGGAATCGAACCCGGACCTCTGGATCTGTAGCCATAAACGCTGACCACTAGACCACAGAGGCGGATCAGCTTTGACTTTACCATTGTAATTATTAATTTGAGGCCTCTTCTGAGCGAATTGCTAAGTATTATACATATTGCTCTGTTACTTCTTTTTAGTTCTTTACAGTATTTTCTTCTTTTTAAGCTGTTTTTAAGTTTGTATCTTTGTAAGTTATTATAGGATTTAAATTTGCTAATAAAACGCAAAATTTTCCTAATTTTTATCCTGTGTTTACAAGTATTATTATTCTTTATTTTGTTATGACAATCATTATGTTGTGTATATTACAAGTGTTTTTGACCATGATATGTTTTACTCTGTTTCCATTGGCGTTTCATGTATTATGATTGGTGGATATTCATGCCTGTCTGTTTTGAAGGTAAATGCAGTGATCATATGAAGATTTTTGTATTTGGTGTGATTTGCCATATTTTTATGTTGGTTTTTAAAATGTGCCTGATTGTTAAGCGTGTAATAAGAAGATAGTTGATTATATTTTGTGAGAGGGGTCTGTTTTGAATTAATGTCTGAATGAAAATCAGTAGCAGACATGGATGAAAATGATATATTCTTGGCAGCCAAGTGAAATTCCGGAAAGTAACTTATTTAGAGCAATGCTTGACACAGGAGAGAGTAGACCAAAATAAAATTAAACGTCCTTTATAGAGTTCTCAAGATTCACCCAGAAGATCAGCCATTGTCTGTTATATGCTGTTGGAAATGTCTGGTGTCTCATTGGACTCACTTCTGCAGAGGGACTTTCAACAATTTAAAGTTCTTGTCCATGTGCAAGACAGTTAGAGCTGATGTTGAAGAGTGGTCATCACAGTTATCGAGGTGTCTGATAATGCTCTGCCATCAGTTGATGAATTTGATATCCCGTGTTTCTTGCATAAATATCATTTATAACCCTGGGTATCTCATGAATGTTCATTTATTTCACTTTTTTAAATTCAAATTTACCCATGTGACAGACAGCATAAATATCTAGCATCTTATAAATGTTCTGTTCTTTAGTTATGATGAGCGCAAATTACCGTATTTACGCATGTATAGGCCGCAGCACAATTTTCAGACAGAAATTATAGAAAAAATAATTTTCTTGGAATATTATTTCAGGAGTAGAAATTATTCCGAAATTTGGCAACGTTTAATTTTTTTTTAAATGAAGTGTGATTTCGAATATTTCGAATATAAGCCGCACCCCAGTTTTCCTCTTGAATTTTTGGCAAAAAATATGCGGCCTATACATGCATAAATACGGTAGTCATATGACAACATTAAATAGTTGGATACCATAATGAAGTTAAAAAATTATTCAGCAATTTTGGGCCAGTTTCAGTTACGTTAAATGATTACATTCACACTACTCAACTGAGAATCTTTTGTCTTTCAGTCTCCTCTTGAAGGACCTAAAGATTGTATACAGGATAGGTCTGAAAAAATGCCAGTGTAAATACACAGAGTTAGCTGTAAGAATCATTCCAGGGAAATTCAAGGGCAGGAGCCTGAAACTTGTCTTTTGTTCAGTCCAAAATTACCCTCTCATGTCATTAGACACTAAATAACCTGTGCACTCATTGTGGCATTTTAAATAGCTAATGGTGAACCCCATGCAAGAAGAAAAGTACCAGAATATCAAAGAACAAACATATTTAATTATGCTACATTTTGCATTAAGATAGATTAAGATTGAGTGGTTGTTTTTATTTTGTCTGAAATGGAATTTTAGTAACAAAAATAGGATTATGAATAGTTGGTGTATGCTAACAGAACCTGTAGGATCACAGATACTTAAAATGGTAGGATGAATGATGTATCATGTACTTCAGTGCACCTGTTTGTTTTTTGTTGATTGATTCGTTGGTGAGTGTATGAAGCATGAAATGAAAACTTTAGAGAGCTTACACTAAAGAGAGACGAGAAGGAAGTAAGTGTTACTTATTTAAAGGGTGTGCCATGATGTTTGTCTGAATGACAGCTGGTTCTATCTGTTTGACACTACATTTCTGGAACAGCCAATAACGCAAGATGCTGTGTACCTAATCATAGCTCAAGAGTTATAGCGGTGTTATTACTGCTTATATAGAAACAATAAACTCGTAGAATATTGTTTGAAAGGAGTATCCTTTACGTGTTCTGAAGTGTGCTAAGACTATGATGATCATAGGAGTTCATTTATTAAAGACTTGGTGTGCTAAAACCTGCTGCTAGCTAATGTTACGGTAACAGACCAGGTTCAACACTGCTAATATGAAAGCCCACCACTGGACAGTATTATCCTGAACCATTTTCATCCACTATCCAAACTTGTAATCCATCTCCCTAACATATATCATAATGATGTCCTCCGATAATTTTCTTGGTCTTCCAAGTGAATATTTTCCAAGATATTTCTTTCTGAAACACCTTTGCTCATACCTTTCCTTCCCTGTCCTGGGTACATTCCCAAATCATCATAGTTTCTTCTGTTAAAGTTACAGTTTTGAGGAGTATATTGAGTACTAGGAATACTGTTGCACAATGTCATACATTTATGGCTATATCATATATAATACAAATTGAAAATTGGAAGAAATTTAAACTCATGCAAATAAACATTAAATGAAAGATTTGTATATTCTGTGGTTTATGGTATTGATATCCCATAAATGAATAGAAATATAACTGAAAATTGGGAAGAAAACAACTATTTTGGTCATGTTTTTGTTTCAGGCACGAAGCATAAAGCCAGCAATTTCTGCTGCCAGTACTGCAAGTTCTGTTAACATCAGTAATAAGAGCAATGCCACTTCAGGCAGCATTAACATCATTAGCAGTAATGGGAACATTAGGAGAACTAACACAATTACAGCTTCAGCTGGGAATACCAAGAGAACCCCAAAGATTAAAGTGACACTTAAGAAGCTGAAAACTCCAAGTAGTCAGGAACAGAATGAGAGGCATAACTTTCAGACAGACTTCATACATCCAGATGATATCATCCATCACAAGAATGGGAATGTTTATATCAAGAATCTCAAGTGTCGTATGTGTAACTATAAAGCAGCATGGGAAGGTGAAATGGCTCGACATGAAAGCAAGGCGCATGGTATCCATCGGCCAATTTCTGTCAAGCAGGCAACCAAGAAGGTTCCTCGGCCAATTCCTAACTTGATACCTATACAAAACAAGGTTATGCCCCCTGGTTCTGTCACATCATTACCAATCTTGAGGATCCCCACAATCCGTGGTCGAGCTGCCACATCTTTGCTGAAACCTCAACAGTTGCAGACATCTCAACAGGAGAGTGGCTTGAGTGAACGGGATCTGAATGAGATCTGTGCTAAATCCTGCCCCAACAGTTCACTTAAAGATTTTGCATCTCTCATAGGAGGCGAAGACGCTTTCAAGTTACCAGATGATGAAATGAATGATGGGGCTCCAAAGAAGACTTCCCCAAAGCAGGAAGAAGAAGATTATTATGATGAAGATGAGGTTGCACCCAGTGACAGTCAGTCACAGTCAAAACCTAACATTTTAGCTTCAGTAACTGATTCATCATTCAAGAAGAAAAATGCTTCCTTCTTTGATAAACTGAAGGAGAAACTACTAGTAGGTGCTGGGGAGTCATGTAATTTGGTGTGCACATTTTGTGGGCATGAGTCAAAGTGTCTGTCTGAACTAGCCCGTCACCAGAAGTTGCATTCCAGTCCTGGAAACCGCAGCAGTGATGGTAGTGGGACTAACGGAGGCAGCGGTGTAGTGCTGGCCAGTGGTGCTGAACTCTCTTCTACCAGATGTCAGCACTGTCGTCAACGTTGCAAGACTAGTGCAGATCTCTTGATACATCTACAGTCCTGTTCAGAGGCCAACAAAAATCTTGCAGCATCTTCTCCATCCCCAACACCAATAACAGAAATTCCTGATGCCAAAGAAGAGAAGGTGCAGGATGTTGAGGATGAGGAGGAAGAAGAAGAGGAGGGTGAGGAGGAAGAGCAAGAGGAGGAGGAGGAGAAAATCAGAGAGGAGGAACCACATCCAATGGAGAACAAAGTGTTTGTGTGGAATAATTTACCACAACCAGTAGAGATGGAGAGTGAAGAAGACCATCAGCCACAGTGTCAAGCACAACAGGAAGAGCAGCAGCAGCTACAGCAGCAGAAACAGGCACCTCCACTGCAACAGCAAGATGATGATAGCCTTGATACTTCTGTTCGTAGCAAGTCACCTATCAGTGAAGGTAGTCTGGTGGGCATTGAAACTGCCCCAGGTTATGGTGCTGTCACAAGCAAGATTCTTTCTGATTCTCCAGATGGCCCCCTCCCTGACATGGAATCCAAAGCTGCACTAACTGTCAAGAAGGTAAAATTTACTGTTTTCAGTATATTTCGCAGATTGTAGGTGTTGCAATACTGATAAATCTGTCACACATGCATGTCTTTTGTAACTTAAATAATTTAGAGGAAATATACATTAAAGGGTAATTAGGTATTTACCTACGACATTTAACTAACTAATTCTGCAGCAGAGGTCTTCATGAAAAGTTTATGATAATTTAGCTGCTCCACATATTCCTTCACTTTCATTGAGTTCAAGGGTTCATTATTGTGTTCCCAAGAGCTTGCCACTGAAACTGTCATGACCCATCTGAATCCACTCTTTCTTTAAGATCTATCTGGCTATCATCATCACATTTATGCTTAGGTTTAATATTGTTCTCAGCACTGTGTTCTCAGATACCCTCCTTTTATGTTTGTTTGAAGTCTCGCATTCATATAAAACAAGAGGTGAAAATATACATTTGTAATTTTTTGCCTTCTTTAGTTTCTTAATTTACAGTGTGATTTGGTTCCCTTATTCATATTTTTAAGGAAAAGAAAACTCTTCTTTCATACCATACTTTAGCCAGACAATAAGACAGTGCTCTTTTCTAGAAGAAAATGTCAAGGAAAGAAATGTATATGAGATTTGAGGTTTACAGGGTAGTGACAATGTATAATACTATCTTGAGATATGTGACGCCGTGTAGTCTGATAGAAGTTTACTAACATTTTACTGCCCTCCTTCAGGGTAAAAGAATAGGTTGAGCAACGAAACAGCAAGCAGAGTTCATCACTGCTTGTACTTGGTGCTGCTTGCTTGCTCACTCACTCAGTTTACTCTTTGATCCTGACAACAGAGGAGCTATAAATTTCACTCAGACTAAATGTCATCAGATCTGAGAAGACAACAGCCTTCTAGAAAAAGCTTCTTCTTGATTGCGATATAATTAGGTTATTGTTCTTTGATTATCACATATTTTACTAAAAATGCTGTTTCCTTAATTCTACATAATTAGTGATCTGTTTGACACACCTCTTACTGTGTATGTAATGATTAACTAACTATTGTAACTAATGAACCCACTCGCTCAGTTGTCCACTTATCCACTCGCTCATGCCTGCCTACTCACTATCCCACTCACCTGTTCGCCTCCCTGCTTGCCTACTCTCTCTCTCTCTCTCTCTCTCACTCTATCTCACTCACCCTCTCACTCTCTCACCCACCCACTCACCCACCCACCCACTCACCAACCCACCCACCTACCTACCAACTCACCCACCTACCTACCAACTCACCCACCTACCTACCAACCAACTCACCCACTCAGCAACCTAACCCTCCCATTGAAAAGAAATTTTCATTTAACCTGAGATTGAGTCCAAGTGAAGAAGACCAAGGCATATTTTCCATTTGTTACTCCCTGCAGATAGAGTAAAGTAAATGTCGATGCATTTTAATGTAGCATTTAATGGTATTAAAGCTTCAATGTGTTCCCTATGTCAGTTTTATATGGGGTGTAAATGGAAGGCGTGCACAAACTTTGTACGTGAGTTCCCCATACCAAAAGAAGAAAAACGTCTATATCAACATGTGTTTGGAATCACTCAATATTGAGCTATTGCTGAAAGAGTACATTTAGAATAAATGCTCAAATTTTTCTCCATGAAATTCAGTGCACTCCTTGACATGTTGTGGATTGGTGCATACATTCAAAGATCCTGGGGTAATTACAGATAGTGCGACACACATCCACACTGTGATGGGGAAGTGCCTGTTTGTTGTCAGCAGGGGTTGCATACACGATGGTTTTAGGTGTCCCCATTGGTAAAAATCCAGAGGATTCAAAACTGGGGAACGTGGAGGCTGTGCAGTGAATCCTCTACCTGTTCATTGGTAATGATAGGAGGTATTGAAAACGTGTCGCCAAAGGGCATGTGTGCATAGACATGGACATGTGCATGGTGGTGCTCTGGCATATTTTAGCTGTTCTATATAGAATTATGTGGAACTCATTCCCAAAGTTTGTCCATGCTTATCACTTACTTCCTATATAGCTTAAAGCAATGGAAGCTGTGTAAACCATTCAGATTATAGCATGGATTTAAATTAACCTATTAGCAGTTGTTTCCCTGAAAGTTAAAATCATTCAGTTACCATTTCAGCTTTTTGTGCTGGATGAAGTTAATAGGATCAGTTGTGCTTCACAGTGGAACTAAATGCCACTTTTTACGACTATTTGCAGGTTTTCAAATGTCCCAACTGCTCATTTTGGGCATCAACCGCTTCTCGATTCCATGTTCATATAGTGGGTCACTTGAATAAGAAGCCATTTGAGTGTTCTCTCTGTGCTTACCGGTCTAATTGGCGGTGGGACATAACAAAGCACATACGACTGAAGTCTGCAAGAGATGTGGGACATGAGCGGGCAAGAGTTTTGATGACAGATGAAACTGGAAGGCGAAACTATTCAAAATACAACAAATATTTAACACTAATGCGAGTCCATGAACCGACAGCTGAGAGTAGTGGAAGTGGGCGACGTTCAAAGGGTCTGGATATAAGTCAGGGCATGGCAGTGCATTCTAATGTCAACATTTTGCAGCAGCAGTTGCCTGCTCCACCTCGTCTTACCCGAGCCCCTGCTCCCATCTCAAGCAATCTTCTTCATCTGGGACCAGGAGCACCACTTAGACCGCCGCCACCACTGCGAGCTGCACACCATGTGGTATTCCCAGGTCCTCCACCTCTGCAAGCACAGCCCTCAGCACTGCTGCAACACCAACAGCGTCAGCAACAACAGCAACACCAACACCAACAGCAGCAGCAAAACCAACAACAGGAACAGCAGCAGCAACACCAGCAGCAGCAGCAGCAGCAGCGGCTGGACTTAGATATGAGACCCAAACGTGCATTAAAGAGACCTGCAGTGAAATCAGGGTTTAGCCCAGAGGGCCAACGGCCAGCAAAACGCCCAAGTACGGACAGTAAGAAAACACTCTGGAAGTGTAAGAAATGTAACTACAGGTGAGAAAACAAAGTTATTATCTGGATTTGTATGCATTGTTTCTGTCAGGAAGTTTAACCATTTCCAAATGATATTTTCAAGATAATTTTGCAGCCTTGAGAATTCAGGCTGGGTATACCAGTTGTTAATCGGGAGAATGCTGATGTGTCGATTGGACAGGAATTTTTTCATAAATTTTTAAAAATTTTTGTGGTTACCACATTATTTTCCATTTTTGAAAGAAAGAAGTGATATTAATCTAAAGTTGCATATTTTTAAGATTTATAGTCAGTGTACCTCAAAAACTCTTTGTATGGAAGGGTAGAAGATACTGTGGATGTGCAGCAGAAAGATGAAACATTTTTAAATATAGTAATTGGAACGGACCAAGCTCTTAAGCCATGATTTTTTATGATAATGTAACATGTTATTCAAATGACTGTGTGTTTGCTTTAGAGATGCAAGTCGTGAGCTGGTGTTAGCCCACGTGAAGGAACATTACCAGCAGCGTCTACAGCAGGCCAGCAGTAATGGTGGTGTTGGCAGCAGTGACTCAGCTGAGGCAAGTGTCAGGCGGGGTCTCGCACCTTTCCGGTGTGGCCACTGCCATCAGGTATCAAACTGGAAGCATGTCATCCAGGTACAACTAACCACTTTCACAACTAACTGCATGGGCTGAGCTCGCTGTGAAGCATGATCATACATATGGACTTCCTTTAAGGAACAGAATGTTTTTCTCTAGCAGGGATCTCATCAGAATTTTCCTCTATATTTCATGGTGATTTCTGTGTTTTTAATATGGTTGGTACCTAGTTTAATTGATTGGCATTGTGCATTTTGGTCCATAGCCCCTGCATGCTTCATTATGTATTTCTTATTTTTGCCAGCTTTGATACTGATCATTCCAGTTATGAAGTACCTGATTGTACATCTGAAGAAGGATATTTCAAATATTTGGTCCATGGAAGGCATGGAATTGATTACCTCTGGTATGCAAGAACAGGGGATAAAGAGGCAAATGTAAAGAAGTATTCTTTTGTTTTGTAGTTGTATACTAGTATGTGTGAACTGTGTACACACATTTTTACCATGTTACCTTAGTAGATACCTTTCCCAGTGTATAAATTATGTTCATCCATTAAATATTGTCAAGTGACTCATGTTATACTTCATGTATATCTTGACTCTGAGAAAGTATTTGTGCTTTTGTTGCAAAATTAGGGTTATAAGCATGGAGACTTTATACAGATTAAAAGTACCTTTAAACATATGGAAGTTAGTATCCTACCCTTTCTTGCTTGTGTGTTTCTGTTCATTTAAAGTGGTAGTTAATAAGGCAACTTTAAAATACTCCATTGTACATTTTGATGGCCCTCATGTTTACACACTTGATGTATCTACATGTACTTTCATAAAGTAATTCACTTCAGTAGCCCCTACTTTTGGAAAGTTAGCAAATCATTTCTACCATCTTGATCACTAGATTTATTGTTTTGCTGATCTACAAGTAAGTTGTAGCCAAGTAACTTCTGTTTTTTTTTTGGGTTCAGAGTTGTCCCTCAGATGCTGTCAGACTTCATTGGGATCATTATGTTCTAAGTAATATTCATGTAAATTTTTGGGCTCAGTTACATGTAGCATAAATTCCATCATGAGTGTGGAAATGTAGTCATAGATGTGGTGAAACAAATGTGACAGACTGTGGGATAAATGTTGTTTATTATCATGCCATAGTAAAAGCAGAGATTTCTAAGAACATAGTGCAGATGAGAATAATTGGCCTGAGAGAGATGTCACAGACATGTCATTAATAAGAGAAAGGAGAAAATTGCGTAGTAATTGGCTTTGATAGTAAATAAATGCCAGAAGCAAACTTTAAAAAATTCTATAGCCGTGCTTATAATCTTATACGGAACGAAGCAAGTATCACTGGGAATTAATCTAGTCCACAAACTCACTCTGTATATTTATATCCCTTCTACTACCATATTTCCATTCTCAACTGGGTCTTCCAAGTGCTCATCCCCCTTCATATTTTGTGATTATCACTGTGTTTGATTTTATTAGTGCCCTGATGTCCTGCTCATCTTATCCTCTTAGATTTGCTTATCCTGCTCCTTATTTTGCAATTTTCATTAGTCTCCTGTTAGTTTCTCTCTGTTAGGTACAAATATTTTCCTCAGTACTTTGTTCTCAACATCCTTAGTCTGTTTTTCAATTAGGGATATAGATGACCATCCATACAATTAAAATTTTAATTCTGCAACATTTAATATATGAATTTTTGTTTTCCATGGACCTTCCCTCTAAGGGATGAGTCAGTTGAAGAAACTGAGTGCTCATGATTCTGTACCCAGCTGCAGTCAATCAGATTGCAACATGATATTCTCACTAATAGCAAGTTTGTTGAATGTGTTGATGAGTATTTTCCCTACACAGAGACACTGCCGGTTGAAGCACAGTGGTGATGTGAGGGTGGTGATTGGCCTTAAAGAGGGTGGTACTGTGGAAGAGCGTTTCATGATAGATGATGGTAGTGGTGAGGCAGACTCAGCTTCAGCTCCTCCAGGCAGACCAGAGAGACCAGGTACTTTGTCATTAGTAGTGCAGTGTACACAAAAAGGAGTTTCAACACTTAATAACTTGGTGACTGCAGCTGCTGTTATAAGCTTGTCCACATGCTTCTTCTTGTAAAGATCTAAATGAAGTTTGATGAAACTCAGTACTGGAAGTTTGCACTTACTCATAAGGTGAATATTTTGTAGTCCTCATTGGTATAAACAGTGTTTCTCAAAAATCTGTCATGCTCACATTCATAAAAATATTTCAGTGGCCAAAATAATTTAATAAACTTGTTTTGTTGCTGCATTTAATTTTAGACAACACTCTGATGTGGATGCTTAGAAATGTACATACATATCTTCAGTCATTAGATGAGTAAAAGTTGTATAGGTATGGATTTTGTTCAAGATGTGTAGAAGAAAGTTGAGCTCAGTGGCCGCATGACCTGATGCTCTTCTGTTGCTCAAACTCTGGGATCGTGAGTTTCACTCTCACTTAGAGCATGGAAGTACACGGTGTGTCCAGGATCCGTTATCTCATTTTTTTAAATTTTGCCCTGCAATGCCATCTGTTGGTGAGTTGTAGCGTCAAGATTCATGAAGTTTCAGCTGTGGCTGTCTATAATTTCAAAGCGCAAGCATCGCTGCATCATGTGTTCTGACCTTGAATGTAACAGTAATGTTCTGACGCTCGTCGGAAAATGGCGGTTCAACAGAGAGCCAACATCAGATGTTTTTTAAGTTAGGCAGAACAGCCAGAGAAGCATACAAAATGATGAATACGGTAGTGATTGTTTGAGTCGCTCAAACATTTTTCAATGTTATGCTGTATTTTGTGATGGCAGGGAGGACATTGAAGACACCCCACATGCATCAAAGCTGAGAACAAGTCGAACTGAAGAAAATGTGAAGAAAGTGACCAAAATCCTTGCATCAGACAGATGTGTTTCTGCAAGACTCATGGAGGAGCTTTTGGGAATACCAAAAAGTACTGTGCATAAAATTTTGACCAAATATTTGGGTAAACGGAAGGTCTGTGCGCGGTTTGTACCGCACGCGCTGTCAGGCGATGAAAAACATGCCAGAGAGGAACACTGCAAAGACATGTTACGGTCGGCCCGAAGTGATATAAAATCTACAAAATCGATTGTTACGGTAACAAGACATGGTGTTTTCAATATGAGCCTCTCACAAAGCGGCAGAGTGCAGCGTGGTTGAGCCCAAAGAAGCCGAAACCAAAGAAAGTTCGCATGCAAAAGAGTCAAGTAAAGACGCTGCTAAGCGTTTCCTTCGATTCCAAAGGAATCATTCACAAGGAATTTCTGCTAGAAGAACAAACAGTGAATTCTGATTATTATCTCGGAGTCCTCAATCGTTTGTGGGTGAGAATTTTTCAAATTCGACCTGAATATTGAGAGCAAGGTTCCTGGTCGCTCCTCCACGACAGTGCCCCACCGCACAAACCGAAGATAGTGCGCGATTTTTTGGTCAGAAAAGGGATCACAGTCCTTGATCATCCTCCGTATTCACCAGATTTGGCTCCAGCAGATTTCTGGTTGTTCCCAAAAGTTAAGTTGGCGATGGAAGGAGGCTGTCACGACACCATCCAGGACATCCAAAGGGAATGTACCGCATTTTTAAATGCGATTCCACAAAAGGAGTACAGTGACTGTTTTCAAAAATTTTTCAATCGATTCCAGCTATGTATTGATTCAGAAGGAGACTATTTTGAATAAAAAGAGTGAAATTTTGAAAATAATTCACGTCTTGTATTTTTAATGAACACAGTCCTAACAACCTGGACACACTGTGTATGTGTGCGTTTCTGTTGTCCTGTGTGAGTAGAGGCCTTCTGACGGATTAGTCCCCCACCCAAAGAGTCCTACCAAATATCTCTATATGATAAGATTATAAAACATGGAAAACTGAAGGACTTGGGCTGCATTGATCTGTTATGTTACACAAGAAGAAGAAAAAGAAGTAGGAGGAGGAGGAGGATGATGACATGACAAAGATGATAATGATGATGATGATATTATATTTAAGCATCCTGTTGCACTCTACACGATAAATGATACAAACTCGGTCCCAAGTGCAAACAATTATATTATATGTCTTTGATCTTGCTCTCTTTTACACTACATGTTTCGGCCTCAAACGGCCATCATCAGGTGTGTACTCTCACGTTGCTGCCACACTGCACCCAGTCTAAAATTTAACATTTAAAAACACATTGTTACTTTCGTCGTATTATCGACATCTACCTCGTTGATATCTGTCTGGTCTGTAGATTATTTTGCACACGTCAATTTTGATTTTCCTGTAGTAGCACTATAAAATCTTTAGTTCTAATTTTAAAATCCTTTAAAATTTTCTCAAAATTCTAAATTTAAAATTTAAAATTGTTAGGGTTACTCGCCCTATGTCTAAAGTGCTGCAGCGGCTAGTTCTTGTTTCCACACTGTACAGGTGTTATTCTGTGTAGTCTTCCTGTGTGCGTGCTGCTGCTTGTCTGTACTACGTGTGCACTTGGGACGGAGTTTGTATTATTTATCGATGATGATGATGATGATGATGATGGTGGCAGTGGTGGTGGCAAAGAGGAGGAGGAGGAGGAGGAGGAGGAGACAATTTACTGCGGCATTCATGGCCACATTGACTGTACCCATGAGGATAAATAATGTGACTTTATGGCTGAAAGTCAGAATAGTAGAACAAGAAGAGGAGGCAGTTGCCAGGCAATGGCACAGTAAACATGCTTCTGCAGCAACAAATCAACATGCAGGAACTGTTAAGGGCTGTGACTTCTATGTGGTGCACACCAAGTGCATACAGCAAGGACCAATAGGAAAATTTTGTGGGTTGGAGGTTAGTGTCGACAGTTAATAGTTGTGAGTTGCAAGTGAGTGGTGGTGGTTTGTAATTGGTCATGAGGTATTTCAGTGTTAGTAACCAGTACCTATCAGTGACTAGTGATGGCAGAATAACAAACAGAAGACTTTGTGTGTGCTGTAGTTGTAGTGATTTATAGAGCGTGTGAATTAGTGAGATGGTTTTAATCATTTGTACTTACGAGTTACCAGTGTCCTGTAAATCCAGTATTCAGTCCAAATCTTGTGTCTGGTCACTAACACGTGACAGTATAATAGAAGTCCAATTTGATGAGCACAGCCTATAACAAGGAGTCTGATTTAATGAATATTGCAGTATGTGTCATCAGTTTAATTGTCCTAAGCATAGAAGTATTCTTTGGTTCTGTTAAGAATAGATTGTCCTAATTTCTACTGTAATGAAAGCTTTTCTGTGACAATGTATTGGCCACTAATTTATGTTAGTCATGGGCCAAATCAGCACTACTGGCAACACAGCATTCTTGCATCATGTTTCATGGTTGAGTAGTTGGATGGTTGGATGGGAGAGGGAAAGAGAGAATCAGAGCCACCTTCAGTAATTTGTAAAACAAGCCATATTTGAGAAAATATAGTTCACTCTGCTCTTCATGTAATGAAGGAATTATGTTGACTGATACAAACCAAAATTAAATTTGTTGTACAAATTTTAATGTAGATCTCAAATAGCAAATTCTGGAGATATGATGTTCAGAGTTCCCCTTATATACATTCACATTGTACACTTTGCATAAATGGCTTAAAGTCTAATATGTGTAGTTGTTTCCCTATTAACCCTCATCATCTTCAAGACTGACATAATCATGAACATGACATATTTATGCATCTGATGTCCATCTGTTAGAACAAGGGTCTCCAAACTACGGCCCGCGATGTGATTTTATCCAGCCCGCGAAAGAATTGTGCAGAAATGCGCCAATTGAACTAATTTTCCAATGAATACTGGTAAAGAAAATACTTGTTCATAGATTTCAAATTCATTAATTAAGATTGTATTTAAAATATATTGATATTCCATATTATGTTAATATTAATATTATTCACAATTTTAGATTTGAAAGAAAAATTTTGGAAGCGATTTGCTGATTTCGATGCCAGTGCTCAGGAAATTAGATTGTTTCAAAATCTGTTTGACTGTGATGCTGCAGATGTCCCAAGTCAAATTCAAATGGAAATTGTTGAACTTCAAGAAAATTATCATATTAAAGACAAATACAAGGAAGGAAATTTGATCAAATTTTATAAATTTCTGAATTCTGAGAAATTTCCAAATTTAAAGAACTTTGCTTGTAAATTTATTTCCATTTTTGGGGCAACATATCTGTGTGAACAAACCTTTTCCCAGATGAAGTAGATCAAGTCGAAATACAGGGCAAATTGATCCGATTAACATTTAAAGTCACTACTTGTGATTAGCGTTTCAAAATTTGAACCTCAATTTAATCAAATTTTAAGAATGCAAAAAGAATTCCATCATTCGCATTAATTGTTTTATTATAATTTGTGATGAAAATATGAGCATTTGCTGCTACTGTCTGTTGTCATTAATATACGATAATTTATTCTCATGCACTTTGTATTTAGTTTATGAAATTCTGTGCTTTCAATAAAACTCATATACCTAGAGTTATTAATTTCTCATTTTATCCGGCCCGTTGAAAGTGCTGATTACCTAATGTGGCCCGCATTTTGAAAAGTTTGGAGACCCCTGTGTTAGAAGAAGCATGAACTGTGTGCTCTCAGGTCCTTTATAGAGGTAAGTCTTCTGCTGCTATGAAGAATAGCCAGTTCAAATTATTTGGATTGGAAAGAGTTAAGTTTGAATGTAACGTTTCTTTTTCTTGCCTTGTGTTAACCAGGGGGTTTGCTTTGTTTCAGATGGAAGAAGTGCATGTGACAGGTGTCCGTTCATGAGTGAATCTGCTGCTGAGATGGAAGCACATAAAGAGCAACACTTGTCCAGACCGGGTGCAATATTCAAGTGCTATTTCTGCCCCTTCTATGTCTCACTCAAGAGGTTTGTTATTTTTACAGCATTTGCAGTAACCATTGTTACGCAGAATGGTGGAGGTTTATGAAATTACTGGGAAAGTCAGGAAGTAAAGGCAATCTTAGTTTACCTCAGAATTGATGTTGGCAGCACTGAAAAGATGGCAGAAAAAGACAATGCAAATCTTCCATTGTTTGCACCCATCCAATTTTCATGGTCTTGTTTGTAATGATGATACTGTGATGTGTTTTAACATGGCTGCTGTATTGATTAAATGCACCAAAGAACAACTGCAATCTTCAGTCTTATCTGACCCTTCAGAGGGCGTGAAAACTAGTGTAATTTATGGAAAAATGACAGTTTAATATGACAACAACTTTATGAGCCAGAGGAAAGTTTATAAATGTGTGGAAATGTTCATATGAGGATGGAATATTGTAGTTGGTGATTAACTGAAGAATCAGTATTGATGAAAATGCATATGATTAACATAATCATGGACAGATGCAGTACAAGAATAGTTTGGGACCCAAAAGGAAACATTTAATTTTAATTGAATTAGGAAACTTAGTCTGTTAGACCAAATTCACTGAAGAACAGACAGATTGCATAGGAGAATAAGATAAATGTGGTTATTTTATCAAAACTTATAATGAGACTGCCTTTAATTTTTTTTATATATCTTTGTATTATAGAAAGCAGTATTATTTTTTTATTGCTAGTGGGGTGGGACTAAGTCCCTTGTACTGCGGCCACTTCTGGCCTATTGTACCAGCCCCAGATGACAGGTCAGGGTGATTGTGGAGCAATTGGTGGAATGAAGATTGGCAGGGGAAACCGAAGTACTTGGAGAAAACCTGCCCCAGCGCCACTTTGTCCACCACAAATCCCACTTTACCAGACCCAGGATCAAACCCAGGCCACCGCGGTTGGAAGCCAGCGACTAACTGCTAGAGCTATGGTGCGGTCATAGAAAGCAGTAGGTTCTTGTTGTTCATTTCATATTTCTGTCCAGTAGATGAACTTTATTTCTTGGCAAAGTTGGAATAACCAGTTGCCTTTTGAAAAAATATTGAGGTTGATCATGTGCTGTGGGTTTTTGTGTGTGTGTGTGTGTGTGTGTGTGTGTGTATAGGGCTGTGTGAGTGTTATGGCCTGCTGAAGGAAGGCATAGGGTTCCATCCCCCGGCTATTTGACAATGAATTTGTTGATGAGTGAGCATCATCAGTGGCAGATGTGCAGGGAAGTCGTAGTATACCCCTCTCATTGGTGTTCCAATAATTGCCACTGTGGTGAATGTTCTGTAATGTATGCACAGCATATCGTGCATACAAATTGGAGCAGAAGTTGGATTGTTAGTAGAAATTATGTTTTGCATCCTTATTGAACCATGGGAAGCAAAAGATCTGTGCAAGAATGGATTTCATATGTGCTGAACTGTGATCAGTGAATCATATGTGTCTTGCTGTCCACTTTCCATTTCCTATATTGGTCAAGGAGTAGGAATGCAGTTTGATAGTAGAGATTTTATGGATACATTTGACTTGGAATTAAAGTAGAAAAGCTCTGAGCAGTTATACTTTGTCTCACCATGGGAAAAAATTTGCAAGACGTAGACAGGGTACACCAAAAGTGATGTAAGTTGCATTTGTCACCAATTAGAGGTTTGTGCTTAATCAACTTGTGTGATATTCTACCACAGTTTATGGTGCATACCACACAGCACTGTTACATGAAAAGTGCTACCTGCCCTGCATCAGAAAGAAGTAGAACTTTGTGACTGTGGCGTTGTTTTGCATGAATTTTGTCACAGTGAAAACATTCCAAGATGAATCTCAGAACCTCAGCCATCAACTTGCTTGGCAGTGTTGGATGGGGCTGCTGCTATATGGAGTGATTGCTTTAATTAGTACTACATATGCAGTATATTGTGACATATTTGCTGACAGCTGGAATGGTGGACTCAGGAAGAACAGCCTTTATCAGGCATTGACGAGTAAATATGCTATCTTGTCACTAGATACATCACCTCTTGCTAGGCAGTGGCGCAGTAAACACCTATATGTGACAGCAGTGATGTCTCAGAACAATAGAAGAGCTGTTGTTGACAGTGTTTTCTGTGAAGTCCATACTGAGGCTATGTAACGACCAGCTGTCATTATGAGAATGAGTGAATGAAACATCTTGAATCAGCCATTAGGGAGTGCAGTTCTAGAGTTCTAAGGGTGTAAGGAATAGCCCTTGTTAGGAGGCCATAACCAAGTAATGGCTAATGGAGGCTGTAACAAGCTGAAAAGACTAGTATGGCTTGTAATAGTCACTTGTAATTCTGAGTTGTAAATGTGCAGTCAGTTCAATTACCACTCCAAACCCCATCTGTAGTCACTAAAATTGTGACAGCTGGTGTCTGTCAGAAGTGGGATAATTGGATTGGATAGGATTGGACTGATTGAATTAATGGACTGAAGGTCATGCTGGATAGTTATATCATAAGATGGCTGAAATGAAACAAATAATAGAACACCTGCAGACCTTTCAAGAAGTGAGAGAATTCCACAAGTAGATGATAGCCAAGATGGACACCCATCAAGGACAGATGGAAGCTCTGATGGGTGTAAGCTGACAAGAGCCGAAGGCCTGCCGAGAAGCGACCTCAGCCTGTCAAGAAAAGCTGGAGGCCAGCATAGATGGTGTCCAGGAATAAACGGAAACCAAAATTAAGCCTGACTTGGGCAAAATGAACAGCACAGTGTAGGAGGCAGGTCAAGGAAAGATAGAGGCCCTGGTGGAACGTCGGGAAGCCCTTAAAGAAGAGACTGCAATGGAGACTATCAGAGCAGTGGAGGACCGCTTTGGCGACCAGCAACCAGTCATAGGATACTGAACAGCACTGAAAAGGTAGATGCAAGATGACGATGTATGAGGAATCCCAACTAGGTCAACGTTTGAGAAGAGATGATGGTTGTGATCAGAACAGAACAACTGCATAATGGACCAAGGCCAAAAATAGTTAAATCTAAGAAGAAAGAGAACGCTTAGCAAGACCTCCTTTATACTATGCATTTACATTTCTTTGCTCTTAGTCATGTGTAGGGCTTGTGTTTTACCTCAGATCACCATTCCTATACTTACTACCTTTAAATCGAAGATAAATTTCATGTTTAACCAATGTGTATATAACAAACGAATTTAAAATATGTATTCCTCTGACAAAATAAGGAGTTGTCATACAGTGCACAACTGTTAGACAGTATGGTTATGAACGACCAAAAGAATAATGATGATGATGATGGTGATGATTATCATGATCCTTGATCTAATGAGTGCTCTTTTCTTCCATAGCTATCAGATTTTGATTCTCAGGTTCATATATTTATCCAAGGCTTGAGATCAAGCATGTCACACAAACTTATATTAACAAACCTTCCTATGTCACATGATAATGTGACTATAGATGGGGTTTGAATTGATGATTGGATTTATAGAACTCTGATAGATCTGGGACTACAAGTAATTATAACCTTTTTACTAAGTCACACTCTTTACAGTTCACTAGAGCACAAACTGAAGTCGTCTCAGCCTGATGTGTCGTCACAAGTCTTCTAGTAATGGCTTCCAACAGCAGGCATTCTGCTTCCTCTCAGTCTTGAACTATCCCTGGCCTCAGCTACAGCAGCCATCGACAAACAAACAAACAAGCAAACAAACAAACAAACTAACTAGCTAACTCACTCACTCTCTCTCTCTTTCTCTCTCTTAACTTCCCCTTCTTATAACATCTCACACAGACCACACAGAAAACATCGTTCCTCAGTTGCTGTTTATGAGCCGTTGCCTATTAACGGCCATTGTGTAGTTATTTGTTTCATAGTCGTTGCCTAGCAACAGGTCTACATGCCATATTGCTTCCCCTTAAGGATATTCATCCTGAATAGCCCACAGGCATACTGCCATTTCTTCTTTTCCAAGGGCTGTGTTTGCGACATCTACAGTTTGTCTTGCCTTCCTTCTCTATGGCTTGTGCTCACTGTTATTACTTTGCAACTGCTCCAGCTGTTCCCTCCTCAAGGCAGCTCATCCAGAGTGGTTCCCTGATAAGGTGCTAGCTGGCCTAGGTGTACCACCATATTTTCTGAGGGCTTTGGGCAGAAGTTCCGAGAGTGGTCGGTACTCTTACTTCTCTGGCTGTTAGGCTGTGTGCAGTCTCTTCTTTCGCTTGGGTGGTGACTGGCTCCTCCATGATGTCTTTACACTCATTTGCCACAGCCCAATGAAGAATTCGAATGCTTGCTTCCTGATCTCCAGGTCAATGATTTGTCCGAGGGCCTCATAAAATATCTCCTTGCTCCCTAGACCCAGCTGTAGGTAGGTCTTCACCTCTTTTTGCCAGGCCCTTATTTGTCTCATCCTCTCTTTGTGGCTGGCTTTCATTTCCTTTAGGTTGGTGTCTGTCTTTTCTTGATTGAAGTTCATATTTTCTTGTGTGACATTCATTTCGCCCAGCAGGCATTCCAGTATTTGTTCCATTTTTGTAAGCTTATGATGCAACTATCTACTGCAGTTGTCAGTCCACCAGTTCAATCCAGTCCCACTTCTGATACCAGTTGTCACAATTTTAAAGTGACTATAGATGGGGTTTAGATTTGTAATAGGTTCTATTGAACATGTACAGAACATAACTACAAATAACTGCAACAGTCTCACTGAGTTACACACTCCAAAGATCACTGTAATTACAGTACGCATAGTCTTCTCAGTCTTCCCTAGCCATTGCTTGGTAGGGGCTTCCAATGGCAGATGTGCCCCATTGTGTGGGTTCCTGAACTGTCCTTGGCCTTTGTTACAGCAGCTCCAGACTGACTGACTGACTGACTGACTTACTGACCGACTTATCAAGTGGCTCTAGGCTTGTCCTTCATATAACATTTTGGCATGTACTCCACAGCAAACACCATTTCTCTGTTGCTGTTTACACTTTGTTGCCTAATAATAGCCCTAGTCTAGTTGTTTGTTTTGCAGTTGTTGCCTAGCAATTCTGCGTGCCACAGTATTTTTGCTATGTGCTTTGTCTACAAACAACAATCATCGTGTGGAATACATAAAGTAGTAAAATCCTATACTATAAGTGCATAGATTTAAAAATAATGTATATAAAGTATAAAAATATAAAAAGCAATAAATTATGTCTCATGTGACTTAATTTTTACGTGGGTGTAATATGTACTAAATTAATAGTGCCTGTTATGCTACACACATTCACAGTCACTTTCAGTTCATTGGATACTTACAAAGCTTGTCCAGTTCAGATCCAGTTAAATAATATGTCCCTTCACACTCCTGTATTGTACCTTTCTCTCTTGTGTGTGCAATCTGTTCAGATCAGTCCAAACCAAATTGCAATTCAATGATATGAGTGAATTTTGAAATTCAGAGTAGTCTTTTGTTGTTTTGTATGGAGTGTAGTGTTAAGCGTTGTGAAATGTCTGTCTGTCCTGAAGTAAGGGCTGATGTGATGATGAAATAAGTGAGATAATAAGTAGAAGGTGTGTGTTTTTCAGAGCAAGGACTTTAATGTTAATGTAACAGGGTGTATGTTCTTGTGGCCTTGGATGTGTAATGTGACAGGTGCCATCAACTTATTACACATGCTCATGTAGAAATTAGGTTGGATCAACAAAATTTACTGCTTTTTATATTTTAATACTTCTATATTTTTTAACATCTTTGCCCATACATTATAGGATTTTACTGTTTTGTATATTTCACCTGATGATGACTGTTTATGATCAAAACCTATGGCGTGTATTTAACTAAACTTCATGGAGTTGAGCCCTTCAGAAATCACTAGTATGTGGCGTGTATTTAGAACTAAAAGAAAACATTTTTTTTTTAATTTTAATTAATATAAATGTGATGGTTGATCTCAGGCCTTGAATGATAAACACAAATAGGATACAATCCAGTAAAGAAGCATATATTTATATTGGAGTTTTTTTATTTTTTAGGTTCATGAAAATACCCATATACAAATTAACTTCGTGTTTGTTATTGTGTGGAACTATGGAAAAATAGGACTGCAATATCATGATCCATTCTTGCTTATATTCCAAAATGTTCTGAAAATAAAATGTAGATGTATTTTATACTGTTGCAGAGACCTATTGCAGCACATGCGACTCCACGGTGTCACTGAACCAGAGGATTATATATCAAAAGCCATGCAAGGGAAAAGCACGCAGAAGACAACGCCAGCAAAGGCAGAGAACAGAACAGAGGAGGTGATGTAGTTTATTGCAGATGTAGAGGTTTAATTAAGATAACCAGAAGGATAAGTAGCTTCTTGTGTTGGTCTTTGCCCCATGGAGTCAGAATTTTACCAACATTTTTGTTATGTTCTCTTTAATTTCACGTGTCAGCTGCTGTCAGCTTTGAGCATTGCATTTTCTTGCCACATTTTAATATTTGAATGGGATTGCATGATACATACTCGTATAACTGTAGGTCGGGATTTGGTAATATTAGCGCAGTACCACAAAAAAATTACATTTTGAGTGGTTCTCAACTGATGCATACAGCTTTACAAGAAGCATGGAATAATTCATAACAGTTTTCTACTGATTTACACCACTTCTTCTGAAGGACTCATATAATCATAACAGTTTAGTCATTAAATAAACCAAAATTTAATAAAAAAAGTTGATAACATTTATATGAGTAATGGTCAGAAATTTGGAGTTGTTCCTTACTGAATAAAGGAGCTAAGTTCACTGGCTTGTCAGTTTTTCATTGTTCTCTTTTTTTTTCTTAGGATTAAGGCACAGTTAATTTTTATTTAAGGGAAGCTAGCTGAAAAACGGGCAGTGAATGTTACATGGTGGTGTCACTAAGACAGGCCTTATTTGAGAATGGCTTTGGTGCACTTCAGAAGCCATAGTACCTGGGTATGGTTTAATTAATGTGTAGACTGCACTGAAAATCATGAACAGTAGATACCATTTTGAGTTACTGCAGATGTCCCATCACTATTCCATGAAATTCCCAGGATATTTAGGCAATTCTTCTAGCACTGCATTCATTCTCGTCTGTCACACTAGTTAAATATTATAAAATGATTTGATAACACCATCCATTGTGACTCAGTATATATTTATACAGGGTGTATCACAACTCAATGGCAAAACTTCAGGAACAGACTCCTCATGTTGAGAGAAGAAAAAAAGTATATGACAACATGGGTCCGGAAATGCATATAATTACAGAGTAGTAATTGTGTCTGCACGCCAGTGAAAAGAATTGGCGACATGAATGCTTTCTATGGGTGGGTCGGCTTTTCACTGGAAGGACAGCTCTATGATTATCATGACGTCACCTGTGATTACTTTGTGATAAATTTTCCTCTGCCAATTCTTTTCAGTGGCGTGCAGACACAATTACTGACTGTTGTAGTTTGTGCATGTGGTTAGGATGGTGGGGCGATAGGGAGTTTACGTAGAAATTTCTTAAGGAAACTCTTCAGAAATATCTGCTTGGAAGACACAGAAATCGAGGGGATGGATCGTGAGGAGATAGATTTTCAGAATGGAAGTAGATGCAGGAGAGTCAGCATCATGTCTGTTGATGATCTTTGGTGTTAATGATGCTGAATTCCTTGGTTCTGATACCACAGTGTTAGCTAACATGAATTGAATCCTGTGAACTCCTTGGAGCTTCCCAGTTGCATATCTGCTTTTATTTTCCAGCCTGCGGGACGACAGCATCACAGCATTGACACAAGCCCACATAAGCGATACAAGTGTGTTGGGTGTCCCTATGTCAGCAATAGCAAGAGTCAGTTCCTGTATCATAAACAGTTCCATCGTCCCCGTGGGGCACCATTCAAATGTGGCCTCTGCTCCTACAATGTGAGTCGTCGCCACTTATTGCATCAGCACCTGCGTGTTCATGGAATTCAGATTCCTCCTCAGAAGAGTCCTACGAAGTCATCTGACAAAGAGGTGAGAGAGGATGGATCTGATGAAATTGAAGAAGTCACTGTAATGTCACAGCGTCCCTTTGCCATCCCACTGGCATCTGACTCAGTGTTGGATACTCGCCGCATGACGGACATACCACTAGTTTGGGTCTCTCGGGGAAGAAAGTTTTCAAAAATGTTTAAATGTCGTTTTTGCCCTCATGTAAATCTGCGTAAAGCCAATATTCAAGAACATGAGAAGATGCATCGTGTTCGCACTGCAAATGATGTTGCTCAGTTGGATACTATAAAAGATAGACAGTCAAAAGAGCAAGGTTCTTTAGGAAACCAGCAGCTGCAGCAGCCTCTCCAGCAGCACCACTGTCCTGACTGCAATTACATCTGCAACAATGCAGGAGTTCTATCCTCACATGCCAAAGTACATCAGGGACTGTATGGACAAGTGCATTGTCTGGTTGACACCACAAGAAGTGATGAGGTGCAGTTACAAGAGTTGAGTGCGAACATGAGCAAGGACAGTGATGATAACAGTGGGGTCTGTACAGAAAATATGGAGCAGGGAGTATGTGAGGAAGAGGTAGTAGATTTCCAACCAGAAACCTTATCGAAAGAAAGCGGTAGTGGGAACAAAGTGAGTGTCAGTGATTCTGGTTTCTCAAATAATGAGGATTCAAAGGCAGAAGCAGATAATGGACGTTCATTATACTTTTGTTCACACTGTCCAGCAAGATTTTTGTTTGAAAAAGAATTAACCATTCATGTTCGTTTCCATGAGATTTGCTTGGCACATCGATGTGAGTCATGTTCTTACACTGCGAGGCAGAGGCCACACCTGTTAGCCCACTTGAAGGTGCACACAGAGGAATACCAGGAGCGGACAGATGTGCTTACTAAAATGTATAAGATTTCTCCTCAGCATTCCCGACCTAGATCAGCTGTCATAGTAGAAGGTCCGGGTGTGTCGGGTCCAGTTTGGGTGGTGATTGGTGGAGCCACCCCCTCACAGAGACAGCACCCTGTTGAACAGGAAACAAGTAATACACCTGCCCCTGTAACTCCAGCAAGAACTATAGCAAAACAGTATGCTTGCAAGTTGTGCCCAGCAAGGTTCTTCAAGTTCGTAGCTCTTGAGTACCATACAGGTTTGCATGGTGGTTCTGGCCCCCACAAGTGTAGGAGCTGTGATTATGCAGTCAAGACATATGGAAATCTGGTGAAGCATGAGATGATTCATGATGGAACATCTAAACAGCAACGTAATAGTTCGGCAGGCAAGAACAAGAGCTCTTCTGGCACAGTGCCGCTTTCTGGTACAGAGTTGTTCCAGCAGAGGGCAGAGGCACAGAAGCAAAGCAACAACGATGCTGGTGCTAGGCGAAACATTACTGATCACTCGCCTCTGCATGTAGACCCACAGTTTGGGATTTTAATGCATGGGAATCCAGATTTTATATATCCTACATATTTGAAAAATGGAAGGCTGAAGGAGAAACGATACAAGTGCCACAAGTGCCCATCAGCTTTTGAGAAACGGGAACAGTACAAAGTTCACTTGTCTCTACATGGGTCCAAACAGCGGTATAGGTGTGAGAAGTGTGACTATTCAGTCAAATATTATGCTAACTACATCCAGCACATGCGTAAGCATAAGAATAATGAGGAGGCCTTAGAGGCGCGCAAGTTAGAGAAATCAGCAAAGGAAGGTAGTACTGAGAAAGAAGAAGGAGGAGAAATAGAGGTTGCTGATGAATCGAATGCTGTAGAAGAGGACATCCCTCCTCTCATGCCACGTTCAGTGAAGACAATTGGGAGTTCACCAATGGGTCGACATGGCCCCTTGCAGTTGTCAGTGGCAGATCGCCAAACAATTCTGCTCCTTCAGCAGCGAAGATCGAGTAATGCCAGCAGTTCCCGAGAGGGAGGAGATGAACGGAAATGCTTCCGATGTCCACATTGCCCTTATTCTAGTCAGCGCCGTGATGGAGTTGAGAGTCATGTCAAACGCCACTTGTCTGTGTCAGGAGTGTGCGGAGCTTTCATTTGTTCCCACTGTGACTATACTGTGCCCCAGCTTCACTTTCTGCGGGAGCACAAGAAGCTCCACTTCAAGAAGATGCAACCAGACATATATATGAAGTATGATCGGATTGAACTTTGGGCATGTGAAGAAGGAAAAGAGAATATGGACCAGACTGCAGAAGGCTTTATGTCAAACTTTTCTGAGTCTTCTGGCAAGAAATTGGTGTTCCAAGACAATGGCAATGCCCAGGTTGCTGGTGGCAGATTTTATCCAGCATTGCCATCTGATGTAAAGGAGGAGGAGATGGAGAAACTGTACATAGACCTTCGTACTGGGGAACCCATCTGTGAGAAGAGTAGCTCAGGTGACACACAAGACATGGTTGCAGAAGGATGCAAAGAGTTAGTTGCATACAACACAGGCGATGTGGGCGAGAAGTTTGAAGGGGAGAACAGTGACAGTGATGATGTTGAGGCTGCAGAGTCTGTTAATGCTGAAGACAGCAAATCTGAGTCTGGTAGTAGTAGCAGGAGCAGCAGCAGCAGCAGTAGCAGCAGTAGTAGCAGCAGCAGCAGCAGCAGTAGCAGCAGTAGTAGTAACAGTACTAGTAGTAGTGACAGTAACAGCAGTAGTAGTAATAGCAGCAGTGACAACAGTAGTAACAGCAGCAGCAATAGTAGTAGTAGTAGCAGTAGCAGTAGCAGTAGTGGGGACAGTGACTCTGAAGAGAGTGATGACAATACTCATGAGGTTAAATCTGCTGATGACAGTGCTTCAGTGTGTTCAGGAAACTAAGGGTGTACAGAATTGTTTCAAGTATTGCCTTACATTTTAAGAGAAGTGACTTTATGAGATGTTGGAAAGAGATAGAGCCAAAGCATATGACAGTGGTTGTTATATATTTACATATCTTTCTATTGTACATTTGTAGTTGAAAGAGATGTGCCATTATTATTTTGTATAATTGGGCATTTATTACACTTCTAATTGCTAAAGCATTGCAATTGCCCAATAAGATATTTTGTTAAAAGTGTATTAAGTTTTTCAGTGTATCTAAATGTTTGTTTGTGTACATGTTTCATTCTTGATGTACAAAAACTGATTTTATGTTGTATAGTTATTCTGTTGAGTGTGTAAAACCAGTCAGTCATATCAATGAGTCAGTTTATTTATATTATAGATACTTTTAGAAAATACCAGTGGTATCCCCTTCTGTATTGCAGGCTTGTAGTGCTTGTAGGACCCACCATATGGCTTTTTTCTCCCCATCTGCAAAATGAGATTTAAATCTCTGTGGTTGAAAGTGTAAAAGGAAAAGTACTTCAGTACCAAGCTTTAAAAACAGTAGCTATGTTTTTGTCATGAGGTGAAGATAATGAAACCTACTCGTTTGGGCTAATAAGATGGAGCTAACCTGTCTGTGCATAACAGTAGTTCTAGTCAGGATGTTTGAAATGTAGCTGTAAAAGATCAGCAGTGGGAGTTAAGAGAAGAACTATGTATGAGTATTTTGGTACAGTTAATTTTCCCAATATACTTACTGTATTAGAATGAGATACAAAATACCATCTAAGTGTATTTAGTGTATTTCATTGTGTTGATTACATGTTGTTGAAGCCCAGACATGTTTTGGTCATGCAAGAGGTCTTGTTGGGGGGGGGGGCATAATAAAGAGAAACTTTACAATTCTTATATATAAAAATAGAGGATTTAAATTATATCAGTCATAAATTTGTAATAAAAGGTTAGAACTAATTTAATGTTAAAATAAATATATGTGGGGTCTTATGTAGTTTTGTCATTACTCCGATGACAACCCACTTCTTCGGAACAGTTTGTTGGTCCTGAAAAGGACCGTGGTTGCTGAGATGCTTGACCGGTGAGGTAGCGCGGCGCACACCGGTAGGGAGAGAGGTTAGTTGTGGTGAGTGGACTGACCGCAGTGCAGCCGTTGCTTGATCGCAGTGCGGCGGATGGTGGAGGTTGCTTGATCGCAGCGCGGCGGCTGCTGGTGAAAGGCTAGTCTTTGAGCACGGTCGTAGGAGTGATGAAGCAGTGGCTACGCAAGATGCCCAGTGGGTCGGACAGGGACACGACCACCGGCGAGTCCAGGCAAGGTGCCCCAGTGAGTCGGGCGTGAGAGAGCTGGAGGGCTGAGGCAGTCGTGCCTGGCGCAGCCTGCCGATGCCTCTGAAGACTGAGCGCTGGCGACGAAGCCTGCTGGCTGATGTTGCTTGAGTGTGGCTTGATCGTAGACTGGAGTAAAACTGATGATTTGGCGTTGGAGCTGCTCCTTTTTATACACTGCTCAGTGGGCGGAGCGAAACTTGAAATAGAGGAGGAAGAATTGATTGGCTAGTGCGCGTGATGATGTAGATTTGGGGCTAGCGGCGAGCGCAGTATAAATGTGAACGTTTGGAGGAATTTGATTGGTTAGCGCGCGTGATGGTGAAAAGTGATGTGAAGAGTGTGCGTTGCAGAAAATGCATGATAATGTGGGATGTTCCCACATATATATACCATAGTAATTATAATTCAGTTTATTACAATGTGTTGTTATATTGTCTGCTGTTGTCTTACACTTTTTTTTAGATGTCCTATCCAGTAGGTACTGGCGGCTCTTTCCCCAGGGGTAAAGCAGCAGGGATTTGAAGCTGACAACTCACCTCCACCTAGCGCCAAGGTCAAGAATGGTGGAGCTGTGCCTCCACTTCCCCTTATGTCTTCATGGCATAATGCTTAACTAATTAAGCACAGGGACAACTTTACCTTTTTATAAATTTAACTTACATAATGTTTAATAAGAAAACACATATGTTTATTTATCATAAAGCAAAAAAAAACATTCAGAATCAGATATGGTAAAAAGTAAAGTAAAGCTATCCCTGTAACAGGCCGTGAAGGCCCATAGGGTTGTTAGGCGTTGAGGGTCCCACATTATCTAGACAATCGGCTCATAGATGGCGGTAAGGTTGTCAGCCTTATGCGCCGGCCGCTCTTTATTCCCCAGGAAAATTATTTAATTAATTCCTGGTAGTGTGTTATTTATGACATTTAAAAATGGATGAAAGCTAAACCAGCTTTAAACAACATAGCATGACACCATAATAAAATGAATTGTGGTAATTGTCGTGTATGTACAGGGTCTGGCAGGGAAGTGTGATGGTTTTCAGAAAACTAGTACACAGTAATTTTTTAAGAACAGCAAATTTTAATGTTTTTAAAAAGTACATGAATAATGCCGTTTAAGATTCTGTAACAGAAAATAAGAAAATTTAAATTCATTTTCGGAAAATAAGATCATGCAAATGGCGGCCAGTATTGTCCAAGCATTGTTGCAGATGAGCGGAAAAGTTGTCCATAGTAATTGGAGCTTAGCGAGTGGAATTGCTCGAATTTCTCAGGTGGTGGCATCTGAAAGGGCCTCAAGAGTGTGTGGTTTGTCGATGTAAACGTTAGCTTTCCGGTAAACCCATAAAGATTAATCGCACACCATAAGTTCTGGGGATCAAGGGGGCCACTCCACATCCCCATGCTTTGAAATGAGGTGACTAGGAAAATTTTCTCTCAGTAAGGTCATTGATTCTCTTGAGGTATGGCAAGTAGCCCCATCTTGTTGGAACCAAACTGTAAGGTCGATCGATGTCTTCGCAATTCATACAGTAAGAACTCGCGCAATTTTGTCATGTATTGTTGTGAGTTTACTGTTACAGTGTGTCTGCATCCATGAAATTGTGAGGCCCAATTACGCTGAATCGGGCAATTCCACACAACACAGTGCCTTGCCCGCAATGTAGGGGTCTTTGTTGGAGTTCTTGGGGATTGTTTGCTGACCAATACCAGAAATTTTGTTTATTGACGCTTCCTGTCTAGTGAAAATGCGCCGAACTACCCGTTTGAATAAACATCTCAAAAACAAAGGTGAAATGTTCAATCGTCCACGGTTCCATGGCTACTGAAATGGTGTCTAACGGCGAGTAACTGCCAACCATTGCGCATGCGCTAGTCCCCCTACCCCCATTTTTATACCCATCAAAAATATGTCACAACTCCCTGCCGGACTCTGTATAAAGATAAAGCTATCTCTGTAACAGGCCGTGGAGGCCCATAGGGTTGTGAACTGTCAGGGATGCCACAATTTCTAGACAGTCAGCTCACAGATGGTGGTGAAATTGTCAGCCTTGTGCACTGACTGTCCTTTACCCCCAGAAAGGTGCCAGGTACTCATTTCTGTTAGAAGCTGAGTGTACTCCAGGGCCATAGTGCAGCTGGAAGGATTAGGTCTATTGAAAAATTCTCTTCAGGAATCGAACCCATGGCTTCTGGCTTGCAGCTACGCTACTGTGTGCCCCATACTATATATTATATATGTATGAATTTCGACATAATTTTAGTTTTAGCCTTGTATAAGAAATGTATGACTTGGATGTTTTAAATCTTTTATTTTTAATATGGATGGACTGTAGAGTTTCCTTTCAGTATAGTACACTCCTGAAAATGCTCTTGTATGACCAAAATATGTTGGGGTTTTAGCAATATGTAACAACACAATGAAAAAAGTAGATATACAGAGATGGTAATTTTCATCTTATTCTGAACAGAACCACCATTTAATACTTGTAAAACTATTCTTATAACTACTTATAACTATGACAACCTTCTTTGAAACCAAAACCCATAGAACAGTGCATATGGAGGGAGAAAAGTAGGCAAAACTATGAGACATGTCAGTATAATTACATGATAAAATTCCAAAGAATATGATCAGTGAGCATGAAGTATATCAATCAGCCAATAAAATATTGCAGTGTGATGGAACAGCAATGGGGTGAACAAAACCAACACAAGATCCGTTAAAACCAGCAAAACTGAAATAGTATAGAAACTGTGAAACTTCTTTCATCAAAAGAGGAGTGCAAGTGAAGATCATACCAGGTGAAGTAATAACATTGGAAGAATCTAAAAAAAAATTCATGTGAATAGAAGGGAGTTAAACTGAACTATCTTGTAACTTGCTCAATTACATCCCAATGACAGGAACACATACAGAAATTTCCAGACTGGGCACACTGATCAGACTGTTCATACAGGCCATGTGAGCCAATTCCAATGATTTGTTTGGTTCAATTTACAAGACCCTCATTCATGTAGCAAGGAAGCCAGGATCTCAGAAGTTAAATAAGAGAACATACATGAAAAAAATGCATTAGCTCACATGGCTTTTATTGCCAATTCAGTATTGCTGTTTTGTATACACACTGTTGAAAAGTAAAAGTTTGATTTGTACATATGTTTTAACATGTCTGGAACTGTGGTCAGAAATATAGGTATCCCTCAACTTACATGAATTTTGCATTAACATGATTTCATATGAATTCTCTTCATACAGTTCTTTTAAATGAAAACTAAAAAATGATACTATTATCTGTGTAAAACAGAAAAGTAAGAAGAATTCTGTCTTCTGGGATATAGCACCTTGTAGTCCAGTAGCCTTAAAGAGAGAGCTCTTCGTAACTACCTTTGCAAGAACTGCAAATCCAACAAAGAAAACTGTGATTTGTAAAGCATTAACATCAATGGTCATAAAGCAAATCGCTAAATACTAACTATGATATGAAGATAACTGTCTTGTAGAATATGGCATCATCTAGTCTGATAGAAGGGCACCAAAATTCTGGAGGAGTCTCTCACATCCCAGAAGACACCACTGTGAGAACAGTTCAATCTAAATTAAAAATAATAATATTCAGTGAAAACTGAAGGCAGTGAAACCAAAGATCCAATAAAAATTTTGAATTATGCAGCCACTACTGGGAATGAAAATATTGCATAACTATGGTGTTACCTGTAAGTTAAAATATGATACTGTGGCATCATAATTATGTGTAAGATAATATTTATTATTATTCAGTTGACACAGTCCTGGTATGAGCACACCATTCATTTGCATGTACAGCATGTTTTCGGCCTGTTGGGGCCATCATCAGGTACGTAGAGGATTTACAGTCACCCTTCTGTCTGCTATACCTCCCTACACTGGCAAGTGTGTACACATTGGCGGTTCTCTGTACAGGTATGTTGGTTATGTAATGCCCTTTTGTTATAAAATGTATTAAGTGTTAAAACTGAAATTTTAAAAATATTAAAATATTCCAATTGGAATTAAAATTGAGTTTCATCCATGATATGTACACAGTTGCCGTCTTGTAGAGTGCACTCAGTTTCACCTGT